TGTACCGCAGCACCCGGTGTACCGCAGCACCCCGGCTCTCGCATAACGTCCACGGTGCGGTCGTTTAGAGTGTGTTGATGGTCGACGATGCGACAGTCGAATCGTCTGGACGAGCTGTACATGCCATTGGAACCTCATTTGGCAGTAAAAACATGATCATTGGTTGTTTACCCTTCTATCTGGCAACAAAACTGACACCTTTTTACGAGGAGTCATGTTTGCATAGACCACAATACCTGCAGTCATAATGCTAGCAAAAAACATAACTCTGATAATACATACATTGTCAGAGTTGTGTTTTTTGTTTGCATTATGACTGCAGTGGTGAGTGAGTGGTGAGTGAGTGATTCTCACCTGCCTGGTCTTGCTCTCCGTACCAGGTGAGTGAGTGGTGAGTGAGTGGTGAGTGAGTGGTGATTGAGTGTATGAGTGAGTGGTAAGTGAGTGAGTTAGTGAGTGGTGAGTGAGTGAGTGTATGAGTGAGTGGTGAGTGAGTGAGTGTGTGAGAGAGTGAGTGATTCTCACCTGCCTGGTCTTGCTCTCCGTACCAGGTGAGTGAGTGGTGAGTGAGTGGTGAGTGAGTGAGTGTATGAGTGTATGAGTGAGTGGTGAGTGAGTGATTCTCACCTGTCTGGTCTTGCTCTCCGTACCAGGTGAGTGAGTGGTGAGTGAGTGAGTGTATGAGTGTATGAGTGTATGAGTGAGTGAGTGTATGAGTGAGTGGTGAGTGAGTGAGTGAGTGATTCTCACCTGCCTGGCCTTGCTCTCCGTACCAGGTGAGTGAGTGGTGAGTGAGTTGGTGAGTGAGTTGGTGAGTGAGTGAGTGGTGAGTGAGTGTGTGAGTGGTGAGTGAGTGAGTGAGTGGTGAGTGAGTGGTGAGTGAGTGGTGAGTGAGTGGTGAGTGAGTGAGTGGTGAGTGAGTGTGTGAGTGGTGAGTGAGTGAGTGGTGAGTGAGTGGTGAGTGAGTGGTGAGTGAGTTGGTGAGTGAGTGAGTGGTGAGTGAGTGAGTGTGTGAGTGAGTGAGTGAGTGGTGAGTGGTGAGTGAGTTGGTGAGTGAGTGAGTGGTGAGTGAGTGTGTGAGTGAGTGGTGAGTGAGTGGTGAGTGAGTGGTGAGTGAGTGAGTGAGTGTATGAGTGAGTGGTGAGTGAGTGAGTGAGTGGTTAGTGAGTGAGTGTATGAGTGTATGAGTGAGTGAGTGAGTGTGTGAGTGAGTGAGTGATTCTCACCTGCCTGGTCTTGCTCTCCGTACCAGGTGAGTGAGTGGTGAGTGAGTGAGTGGTGAGTGAGTGAGTGGTGAGTGAGTGAGTGGTGAGTGAGTGAGTGAGTGGTGAGTGAGTGAGTGGTGAGTGAGTGAGTGGTGAGTGAGTGGTGAGTGAGTGAGTGGTGAGTGAGTGAGTGGTGAGTGAGTGTGAGTGAGTGGTGAGTGAGTGGTGAGTGTTTCTCACTGCGGCGTTCAGTGCGGCGTTCACTGCGGCGTTCTCCGCGCCAACTCGCGGTGGGGTGTCTGAAGCTGGCTCGTGACCCGAGTTTGAGCTCTCGACTCAAAGCAAAGTATCGGCCGAGAGACGGCTCGTGTCTCGACACACTCGTTAGTGAGGACACTGGTAAGTGAAGGTACCACTGTATGTGGGCGGCTTCGTGAACGAATCTTTTGTCGATAGCCAGTGGGCTTGCAGAGAACCTTCGTCTTAGAGGAATCCATTTCGCGTGAGGCAGTTTGTGTGATTTGCCACTGAGCTACGGATGCCTCGGGCACTCTTAGTCGCGAGGACTGTACCTACGTTGAACTTTTTTCGCACCCTACGTGGCCAAACACGCTCATCGGAGTTTAGTCGGTTTCGTGAATATCATCGGCGGGTTTCTCTCTCCCTCCCTCCCCCTCTCTCCCCACCTGCGCCACACACACCGCCAGGTTCAAAGACTCGCAGAGCTTCCGCCTGCAGGGCAAGCGCCACCGGACCTTCAGGAACGGCACGTAATAAAAATAAAATAAAAATAATTATTTCACTAAGTTGTATGTATTTTATTATTGGGGTCTGTGGTATAATGGATAAAGCGGCTGCATGCAGACTGGAAGTTGTGGGTTCGACTCCTGCCAGGCGCGATATACATTTATTTTATAGATATGTTTTATTTCTCGTCACATCTCTAACGCCTGGACAGGGGCTTCAAAACAGCAAAATCGAGGTCAAGCTGGTTCACCAATGTGAACATGTCACGACCATTAACGCTGGGGCATTACATTTAAAATTTGATTAAAAAAAAAATATTCCCCGTGGGGGATGCGGGAATCGATCTGGCTACCTTAACAACAGAAACATCAGAATACTTAGTGGCGTGCTCACGCGACCAGGTGCGCTGATGTCTCCGTAGCATCGAGAGGGTCCTAGTGTCGTTGGTAGCGTGCAAGTTGTGTGTGTCATCTTCTTGGTTCTTTCGGTGAAGTCGCGTAGAATGGAAATAATGAAAAAAAAATTTTTTTAACGTTTAATTATTTATTTTATGTATAATAAAATGAAAATAATAAAATAATAAATGTGATACCTGATAAACTAATTATTTTTTTAAGTATAATAGAATACAAATAATAAAAATACAATCCTTTAAATACTTATTTTATTATGTATAATAAAAGAAAAAGAATAAAATAATAAAAATAAACCTTAATAAAATAATTACTTTAGTATGTATAATAAAATAATAATTTTATTATGTTTTATTTTTATTATAAAACATAATAAATTATTTTATTATGTGTCATAAAAGAATATTTTTATGATGTTTTATTTTTATTATTTTATTATTTCCATTCTAGGTGACTTTACCGAAAGAACCAAGAAGATGAATCCCTGCAGTCACGAAAGCTTTACACCGACGTGTGTGGTCGTGAGCTCTGTGTTGCTAGTAAGACAACTCACAGCGTATATCCTTGTACTGGACGTGCATTTGAGATGCGTTCACTTCTCGTACGTTATTTCAACCATATTTTTCCTTTAAAAATACTGTGATCACAACTTTGCTCAATATTTTAAACATGTTCTTTAATTTTTTTATCATTGTGTAATAAATAAAATAACTTAAAATAATAGGTGTCAGAGTGTGTGTGGATTGCACGTTCGTTGTTCTTGTGTTTGATGACTTGGACTTCTGGACGAATGGCTTCAGTCGAAAAAGACGTCAATGGGGAAATCGACGTTTACGTGTTAGATTTTAAGAATATGTTTTAACTGTTGAATTCCTATTGGGATATAATTTGCCTAGTTCCTTCCTGTTTGAGCAAGCGTATTAATAAAGATTTCGATACGAGTATTAACGTGAATTTTCTTGCAGATTAATAAAGACCTGAATTGTTTTTAAAGATGACTGATCGTACGTTATTTCAACCATATTTTTCCTTTAAAAAACACGGACGAGTAGACATACACACACAAGTGTGCTTATAAACACGACTGTCTATACAGCGATGTGCATTCACACACGAGTGTGCATGTGTTTCTACGAGTTTTAACTGTAATTTACTTGCAGAACAATTAAGACCTGACATGTTAAAGATGACTAATCGTCCCTTATTGAAGAAGGGAAATAAAATAATAAAAATAAAACAATACATTTTTTTATAAAATTATTTTTATTGTTTTATTTTTATTAAATAATAAAAAAATAATTTTCAACCGAATAAAATAACTTTATAAAATTATTTTTTTAATTTTATTATTTCCCTTCTACGTGACTTTACCGAAAGAACCAAGAAGATGAAGAAGAAAATAAAACATAATAAAATAATTGTATTATGTTTTATTTTTATTATTTTATTATTTCCCTTCTTTGTGACTTTACAGAAAGAACCAAGAAGGTTAATTTACTTGCAGAACAATAAAGACCTGACATGTTAAAGATGACTAATCGTCCCTTATTGCTACAATGTTCATAGCGAACACGTGTGGAGGCGAGTTTCAGGTGAAGCATCTCCATCACACAAGTTCACCCTCACCTGGCAGCATCGTGGCTGTCCGCTGATCACACTCATGACGTCACACTCATGACGTCACACGCACGAGCTGTAGGGGCGGGGCTCTGTCCGCTCAGTGGCGCTGTTTTCATTCATTGAGCACCACGAGCGGGGAGTCTCATCCCTGTAGTTCCCTGTTGTGGTGCCGCATTCATCACCACGTTGCCCCTCAATTCATTGTACGACACAATATGAAAATAAGTTGTGTGTTCCACTACACATACTTACATGGGTACACATATACACTCCCTTGTACACACAACCACACACGAGTGGACATACACAGCGGTGTAGAAAAATGCACGAATGTGCATCCACCCCGCTTTGTACACACAAAGATAAATATCCCCCGTATAGCCTTAACAGACTGTAGGGGCAAGTGCTGTTAGCGAGCACCTATGAAGGCCGCAACGGTACACGAGGGGGTGGGTGGCCAGCACCACGCCCGACCGCCTTTGTCTCCCCAGTGGCAATGTTTACACACCGCACCAGGTACTCATGTGAGGCTGAGTCGACCTAGGGGAGGCCCGGGACCGGTTCAGATAATCGTCACTGGTGTTTGCCGTGAGCGGGAATCGAACCCGTGTCGCCGGGTTCATAGCGCAGCGCGCTAACCGCTACACTATCGCTCCCCACATATACACTCCCTTGTACACACACCCACACACGAGTGGACATACACAGTGCTGTAGGAAAATGCACGAATGTGCATACACACCGCTTTGTACTTACACACGGGTGCACATGCATACACGAGTACGTACACCCATTTGTGCATCTATACATACAACACATATGTATAGATGCACAAATGAGTGTAAATGCATCAGGGTGTAGATACATGCACAGTGTAATTGCACACAGCAATATACATAAACACATGTGCACGTGTAGAGGTGATACGCGCTGGGATTAGAGATCGTATGCCAGCGCGTAATGATTGGCTGT